ATTCACAATCTGCTCTGCGATGGCCGTGTGAAGAACGACTGAGATACGCTGCTTCTGCAGCCCTAGCCAGTTCTTGGTGTGGTCCAAGTCACGAAGTCACCTCATCGAGGTACTGGGCCCGCGTCAGTTTGTTCTGCAGCACGTTCGCCGCCTTCCACAGGATCTCGCCAACCCCCTTCCCGAACCCACCGAACGACTCGAACAGCAGCAGCTGCACGCCGACGTCCTTGTCCTCCCTGGCGTAGCGATACTCGCCGCCATAGGACGGTATGCGGCGGTCGCCGCCCACCACCCTCCCCCCCCCTAGTATGCCATCGACCCGTCCCCTGCTCCCTCTCGCCCTTGCTCTTCCTCTCCCCCTCCATGCCCTCGCCCCCGTACCCCTCACCCTCCCTTCCCCCCCCCCTCTCCCTCCCCCTCACCTCCCTCTCCCTCCTCGCAGTAGGGCCCATGCCCCATGACCATGTTCCGGTAGAATGATTCGGTGTTGCCGAAAGCGACAAAAGCGCCCTTCCGACCGTGCTCCCCGCTGCTGGTGAGGGGGCAGACCTTGACATCGCCGGAATAGCGCTTGCCGCCCCTGCCAATGTTGTACGCGTCCACGTCGGGTTGTTTGTTGTAACTATGACCGAGGTGGTTCGTCGGCTCCATTCGCACAGCTGTGCCCCACGCGGCGCGTAGGGCGAGGATGAGGCGCTGAAGAGATGACGCTTGTGTTTGATGTTGTGGCCCTGCTGCGGAACGTTGACAGCAGCGTCGCCGAACTCGTCGTGGTAGGAAGGTGTGGCCACCTCGTGTGGGAACGCAGCCCCCGTGGGAACGCACTGCCGGCCCCCGTGCGCAGCCCCTCCCGACACCGGAGCGGTGCTCCGGGGGCACGCCCCCGTGCACGCCTCCTCATATGACAGCGCACGGGAGCGGTGCTCCGGGGGCACGCCCCCGTGCACGCCTCCTCATATGAAATGCACGCTCCGGCCCGGTTTTCATATGAACTGCACCGCTCCCGAGTCGGGCACCTCCGCCGCGCCGAGCCCGTACTGGGAGAGCGGGTTCTCGGCGCGCTGCGGCACGCCATTGTCCTGGAGAAT